CGGATGCTCAATAGGGTTTAGGTCTGGAGACATGCTTGGCCAGTCCATCACCTTTACCCTCAGATTCTTCAGCAAGACAGTGGTCATCTTGGAGGTATGTTTGAGGTTGTTATGTTGGAATACTGCCTTGCGGCCAAGTCTCCGGAGGGAGGGGATCATGCTCTGCCTCAGTATGTCACAGTACATGTTGGCATTCATGGTTCCCTCAATGAACTGTAGCTCCCCAGTGTCGGCAGCGCTCATGCAGCCAGACCATGACCATGACACTCCCACCACCATGCTTGACTGTAGGCAAGACACACTTGTCTTTGTACTTCTCACCTGGTTGCCACCACACACGCATGACACCATCTGAACCCAATAAGTTTATCTTGGTCTCATCAGACCACAGGACATGGTTCCAGTAATCCATGTCCTTAGTCTGCTTGTCTGCAAACTGTTTGCAGGCTTTCTTGTGCATCATCTTTAGAAGAAGATTCAGTGTGCGGCGTATGGTCTAAGCACTGACAGGCTGAACCTCCACTCCTTCAACCTCTGCAGCAATTCTGGCAGCACTCATACGTCTATTTCCCAAAGGCAACTTCTGGATATGATGCTGAGCATGTGCACTCAACTTCTTTAGTCGACCATGTCGAGGCCTGTTCTGAGTGGAACCTGCCCTGTTAAACCGCTGTGTGGTCTTGTCCACAGTGCTGCAGCTCAGTTTCAGGGTCTTGGCAATCTTCTATAAACCTAGGCCATCTTTATGTAGAGCAACTATTCTTTTTTCAGATCCTCAGAGAGTTCTTTGCCATGAGGTGCCATGTTGAACTTCCAGTGACCAGTATGAGAGAGTGAGAGCGATAACACCAAATTTAACACACCTGCTCCCCATTCACACCTGAGACCTTGTAACACTAACGAGTCATATAACACCGGGGAGGGGAAATGGCTAATTGGGCCCAATTTGGACATTTTTACTTAGGGGTGTACTCATTTTTGTTGCCAGTGGTTTAGACATTAATGGCTGTGTGTTAAGTTATTTTAAGGGGACAGCAACTTTACACTGTTATACAAGCTGTACACTCACTACTTTACATTGTAGCAAAGTATCATTTCTTCAATGGTGTCACATAAAAAGATATAATAAAATATTTAAATGTGAGGGGTGTACTCACTTCTCTGAGATACTGTAACTCATCATAACACATAATATAAATATAAACTACAACAGCAGCACCCCCAATCTAATTATTTTTTCAGACGTAGTTTTCTGGTTCTGACAATTTTTTTATTAAGCAGTAACAGGATTGAATTGAGCAGTAGAAGTAGCAGAAATTGGCTGGTGGCCAGATTACACACTTTAATAGTTTTGTTTGTGAGGTTGTTTTGCAGTACCACACCGCATTGTCTTAAAAGTTAAATAAAATCCACAAAGACACTTCAGAACAACAACCTCGCATTTTCCAAAACCCATCCTAACCCCCTCCCCCAATCCCCAATTATTCCCAAAATATTCAAAATATAGACTTCTGGTACATGGTTGAAATCAGCTATCATCTGGACAGTACCCAAGCACATAAAGGCAGCAAATAGAAAGAACCGAAAAAGCGGGTGCTATACAGATATAAATGAATCTAAAACTTCCACCTGAGAACTTCCAAAAGTAAAAAATGTGTTTAAATAATTTCAGATGAAATCTGTGTACTAATGATCAGATTGTCGTAGGGTCATTTTGTACGGTTTTCTGATGGTGTGTACTAGGTTTAAGAAATGCACACACCCCATGAAGAAAAATGCTTAATTGACTCACCAGAGCTCCTAGACCTCTTTTCTATGAAGGAAGGTCAATATGCACTTGTTTAAGCAGGATATATTGTAGCCCCAATGTATATATACTATATCCTGCTTAAACATATTGAACTTCTTTCATAGTATAGAGGTTTAGGAGGTCTGGTGAGTCGTTTATGGATTTTTCTTCACAAGGAGTGTGCATGTCAATACTGGTGGTGAAGTACACACTAAAGAGATTGGGGATCATAAAAGATACAAGAGAGAGACTGTCACAGTTTTATTGAACTGGATTTGGATTGGGTTTCTTACTCACACCTATAACCATATTACTTTATGATGGAATACTATGTATTATTCTTTTGTAAACCTGCTTAGTTTTTTGTGCATTTGCATATAATTTGGGACATATGATAACAGCACTGGAGATTTAAACACATTTATTAATATTGGAAATTTTCAAGTGGAAATTTTAGAATTATTTATATCTGTAAAGTGCTCCGTTTTTTTTTTCAGTTCGTTTATTGTTTGTTCACACTGGGAAGGCAGCTTACTCTATTTTGTCCTCAGTCCCTCAGTCCATTTCTCTGTCTCAAAAGTGAGACATTAGTGGTCTGTTTAGATCCATGATATTACACCAATGCCCCCCAACAGGGCTCCTAAAAAATTGTATAAAATAATTTTGTAAAAATAATTTTTAAAAAATGGTAAAAAATAATTATTTTAAAAGCAAAATAATAATATAAATAAATATTAAAAAATAAAAAAAACTACTGGCACCATCCACTGCCCTACTGAAACTGTCCACTGCTCTACTGACAGACACTGTTCACTGTCCTACTGACACCATACACTGTCCTACTGACACCATCCACTGCTCTGCTGACTGACACCATCCACTGCCCTACTGACATCATCCTCTGCCCTATTGACACTGTCCACTTCCCTACTGATGCTGTCCACTTCACTACTGACTGACACTGTCCATTTTAAAGGTAGGTTAAATTTATATTCTTACAGTGTCATTTGTTCTGTTATATGTTTCTAAGTTTTACTATTTAGTATGGTATTGTTAGTTAATTTCTTTAAAAAAAAGGGTGCTAAGCCCCAGTGATCTTTCATCTCTTTCATGTTGTTCAGGTAGATTTCCACCTATCAAAGGTTGCCTACCCCTACCCTAAACAGCCCATGTGTGCAGGGCCTTTTTTTCATCCAGAACAAAGTTCCGCCACCTTGCCCACCACTTGCTACTTTGACTTGGCCACACAGAAGCCTGGCCATTGTGTATACAAGTGACAGGCTCCACTCCAGTAGTAAGTGCTCTGCCCTGCATGCTGCAAGTAAGTTTTAGCTGCCCTTTGGCAGCAGTCCCTCTCTCCTATTTCTGGTATTTTTTAGTTGGGTACTTACACATACATGCTTGTGTGCTTGAGCTTTGGGGTGCACCCCCTAATGCAATAGGTTGCGCACACCTATGGTAGGATGCTATTACAGTGCCAAAGAACCAGAATAGGTGTGGAGAGGTGGCAAGAGCTATTTTTTGGGTAGAAGTTGTATGACAATGAAAACTTTATTCTGTAGCATCAGCAGAAGGGTATTTGTAATAGTTGGTAATCCAAGACTGACCAATTTTAATGACAGTAAATTGCTCTAGACTATTAGGGGACAGGTAGATTCACCTATCTGTAACAAAACCTCCTGCTGCACTGAAGGCCATCTCACGCAGAACACTGGCTGCAGAGCAAGCCAGAAACTCCAGCACATGCTGAGCAAGGAAGGAAGGATATGGTTAAATAAACATATGTAAACCTAAAACTGTATGTTGTTGTGATAATTATTTATAAGACCATTAGGTTTTGCAGTTCTACCATACATAAAACAAAGAACTGGTTTCTTCACAATTGCACCAACATAGTGTAAGACCATGATTATTAGCCATTCTTGGTTGAGTGGCATAACATTTTAACTTTAATCTTTTAACTGATTTCCAATATATGACATTTACTTGGAATTTTATGCGTCCAGTGAGAGGAAGTAAAAGATTTTCCCAAGCATAACTGCCAACTGTGGGGATTTATGAAAAGGTTTATAAAAATATGCTTTACTACTGATTAGCTCATAACAACAAACGTTGTTCTTTATCCATATTAGGTATCTAAAAAAAGTGGACTATCTGAGTCGATCGTTGACTCAGAGAGAGGAAAATGAAGGACATTTTGATTTGTAAAAGATAATTTTTGTCATCTTTTGGCCAGTTGTAAAACTTGCCATTGACAATAGGGTAATATTGACCATTTAGAGTAGAACTCTCTCCCTTTTGAAATATATACTGTATGTGCAACAGCACTTAAAGTGATACTAAACACACACTGCTTAATTCACATTATCCCTTCTCTTTCTGTGTATGGATGATGGCACTTTAATTATTTTCATCAAAAAATGTAAAAGTATCTTTTTCCTAATGGATATACAGCTGCAGGGAAACATAAGTAGGAGGAGCTTCTAGTCCTCTGTTGCTGGTCACATGTTCAAAATAAAAAAAAAACAAAGTCTTTGGGATACAGAGTAAAAATAAATAATGATTATGAAACACTTATAAATTGCCATATAAATATTTATGTGAAATCAAATACTATTTTTTGGCAAAAACATGGTGTGGACAGATTTATGCTGTGTCACGCCCCTCCAGCCTGTGTCTTAGAATTACCAGGAGGCCATTCATTTTTTGAAGAATACAAAAACATTAAAGTGAGCGAGTGTGAATAGCATTTAATACAGCATTTATTGATAGTTTTTTTTTAATTTGTGATGTTGTGGGTTTAATGACACTTTAATTATTAGTGCATCTGCACTCCCTCCACTTGCCAAGTCCCTGTTTAGAATTACAAATAAATCCACCTAGTGCAGCTTTCTGTAATTGTGCAGCAGTGATAAGCACAGTTTCTGAATTCAGGGCAGAGTTGCCACTCTCATGTAGTCTGTACCTACTTACACACTACAGTGGAATGAAAACATGTTGAAAGTTATTATCGCTGCTAATTCACAAACCTGTTTGTCAGTCAGCACCTGGCCTAACCTAGTTCATACAACTAAAACTAACTAATCAAATGTCAAAATTCTCAACAATCTTTTGTGAAACTGTAGGTTGTCATGTCTCCTGAGATGCTTAACTGCTTTCCCACAGCTGCTGCAGGGCGGCAGGTGCACAAAATCACACACATATATATACGTGATTTTGCATTTCCAGGTTGGGGGCGCGCACAATCTATTCGCGGCCTCGGCTGTCAATCATCAGGTCCCGGCCAGTGATTACTAGCCAGCACCCGGTGATTGAGGAGCATTACCGATCGTGAGAGAGAACTATAAGTAAACATTACAGTTCTCTGCCCTGTCAGCTCCTGCACACTGCTATGCATGGCTTGCATAGCAGAGCCATGCAAAGCAGTGTGCTTACAGTGAAGCACAGAAACGCAGCACACAGTTAACCCTTTGATCGCACTACATGTTAACCCCTTCCTGCCCAGTGCCATTAGTACAGTGTCAGTGCTTTTTATTAGCACTGATCACTGTATTGGTGTCATTGGGGATGTCAGTGACAGCAAGTCAGTTCCCCCCCAGTGCCAGAGGGCCCGCCACAGTCCAACAGTCCCGCTATAAGTCACTGATCGCCACTATTACTAGTAAAAAAAAACAAAATGCCAGTATATATACACCGCCATTTGTAAATGCTATAACTTTCACGTAAACCAATTAATTTACACGTATTCAGATTTTTTTTTTTAGCAAAGACATGTAGCAGCATACATTTTGGCCTAAATTTATGATGAAATTAGATTTTTTTTAATTTCTTTACTGGACATGTTTAATAGCAAAAAGTAAAAAATATAGTTTTTTCTCATAATTGTCAGTCTTTTTTTGTTTATAGCGCAAAAAATTTAAAAATGCAAAGGCGATCAAATACCACCGAAAGAAATCTCTATTTGTGGGAAAAAAAGGAAGTCAATTTAATTTGGGTGCAGTGTTGCATGACCATGCAATTGTCAGTTAAAGTCACGCAGCGCCGTAACGCAAAAAAAATGGCCTGGTCAGGAAGGGGGCAAATCCTCTGGTGGGCAAGTGGTTAAAAATGCAATAAACATAACAAAATAACAAAACGCATTCATATTTTTCTTTTATTTTGAGTTGCTCGTTGTCTAAGTGTAACTGCTGATTCACACATGTGCGGTGTGGATTGAAGCTCAGGTTTCACAGTCAATTGACACAGTAGTTGTTCAGATGTTCAGGTCAGGTTTACATCAGGTTCAGGACAGGATTAGATCAGGTTAGGATTTTATCCTGTTCACAGTTGATGAAATTTGTGGTTTAGAAACGGTTTCCATAGAAGTCTATGGAATCCACACCTGAACTGGACTGCACTGCTCAGTAATTGAACATTGCTCTTTTTCAATTCGCACTTAATTCGCACTGCCAGTGCACCAGACAAATGTGAACAGGCACCATAGGAAGCAATGTTATTTCACATGTCATGTGGATTGGATGCGATTTGAACCTGCATATTTGTGAACCAGCATTAAGACCTCTTCCATTTCATGTATATATTCTATATAACCCATCCATTCTTTTACTGTTGGCACTGTATATGTTCTCCGGTGTCTGGAAATTTAGGTACATCAGCATTACTGAGGTGTCTCAATAGAGAGTTTGTTGAATGTGATGCTAAATTATTATCAATATGAATTAAAGTCAATAGAGTAAATGTAAATTTCTGAAGGTGTATCTTAATCCAGAACCTTTGTATTTCTGGGCAGAACCATTATGGTTGATTTACCAAAATTGGAGAGTGCAAAATCTGGAGCAACTCTACATAGAAACCAATTAGCTTCCAGGTTTTATTGTCAAAGGTTAATTGAACAAGCTGAAGTTAGAAACTAATTGGCCACCGTGCAGAGCTGCACCAGATTTAGTAAATCAACTCCAGTGTGCTAGCTCAACCCTCAGTCATTGTGGTATTTCTAAAGTGTTGAGGGTATCTGTGGGTTAATATGGTGTAAAGGTAATATGGTTCTGTACAGAGAAAGCAGAATTGTGCAGTTTGTTATTATTATTATTATTATTATTATTATTATTATTAACTGTGATCCCTTGGTCTTCTGTGAAAGTAGTATGGAGTTCTATTTTCCATCTTCTTTTTTTTTTAAAAGTGTTACTAAACCCAGGACCCTGCATTCACTCTATCTGGTCTCTCGCAGTACACAGAACATAGAAATGCAATTATTTTAGTATATATAAACTGCTAAATACCTTTTCTCATCAGCAGTTAGAGCAGTCTTGTGACTTCTATCAGTGTTCAGCAGAGCACTGGTTAAAGCTTGTAGGAGGCATTTTCTTTCTGCTCGAGGAAGATGCAGAACCCCTGACCTCTGTCTGGAAAGTGCTGATTGGCCCTGTGCTGATCGCATGCTTTCTCCCAAGGAAAAAAAAAACCTCTCTAGCAATACACTCCAAACTGAGCATGTGTAGAGTGTCTCCACATGCTATGTCTTATCAGAAGATAAGAGGGAGACACTGGAAGAAGGGGAGGATCAGAAAAGTCAGGATCAAATAGCTTTTTTTATACAATGCAGAGGATTAACCCATTAGGTACTACAGTGAGTATATCAAGCATGCTTTACTGCATATACAGACTGATTTTACTGTTGTGGGTTTAGTAACACTTTAAGTTCTGTTCATGTGTTGCCACCTTCTCTTAAAAGAGAATAGAACCTTGAGATTAGGTGGTTCAGTTGATATATGCTCAGGCATGTTTTTTCAAACAACTTGAGCAATGCAATGTAATCAGGGAGGTTTGAATGTGTATCACAACAGCAGTTTACCTAGTGATAGACCCACTGATGTATCTCTCCCTTTGCAAACTAGCACTCTTATTCTGGTTAGGAAAATAACTTTCCATTCTCAAACAAAATGTCTGCAATGAGGGGACCCCAATTGCTGCAATGTCTAAAGAATCAATTGTATTCCCTGGAGGGAATGCCATATTTCCTGCTTTAGATGTAATGTTTTTTTTTCCTGGTTGAGCATGAGGAATCCATGGTCCCACTGTATGTTGGAATGTAGACTCCATTTCTTGATTTCTCCTGAGATGTAATATGGACTATGGGATGTGTAGTGAGCATAGCATAATGCACAACTACAGTGCACTGCCAATTCCAAGCAAACAGAAGTGAGAAGGAAAAAGGAGAGGTTCAGGAGCTCACAGAGTTGGGACATACAGTGGGAATCGTCGGTTTTGTGCAGTGGGTAAGTTTATTCCTAAATATTTTATATGGGAAGGTCTCCAGGTAAAGGGGAAGTTGTCCTCTAATATCTTCCTGGTTTCATCAGATATGTTAATATTCGTTACAGCTGATTTTAAAGAATTGATCTTGAGATTCGGCCTGTGTTAAATTGGGAAGAGAAGCGTGAGATTAAGGTATGAAAAATAGAATATCATCAGCTAATGCTGCCCCTTGTTATTGATATATTGAATGATTTAACCTGATTAAAGGTTTGTGCATTTTATAATAGTGTAAAGCAAGACCAACTGGTCCAAAGATTTTGGCTGATTTATTGTGTTCATACTTTGTGTAGTGCAGTTCCTTGGTTGTAATCGGGGTTCAAAGGCATGTTTCCCTGGAGGCAGCATACTTGTCTTTTAGCCATATTTGCCTTGTGAAGAAATTTCTTATCTGCATTTTAAAGTGTTGCCTGGGTCTCTATTTTGGTCAGTGAGGTTTAAAAGAAAGTTGTATTATTCCTGAAAAGTCTTTGCTATTTGTAATGGAAATTGGGGGTTGATTTCTTAAGGGAAAATAGGCTGTTCACTTTGCAGGCGAATTTTCACTTTGCAGGGGATTTTCCCTTAGCTTAGTGAATGCTGTGAAAATTCACTTTTCAAAGAATATCCAAACATATGCAGGGACAATAATAAGACCTCATTCTTGCTTGTGCATGATGGAAATCATTACAGCTTCACCTCATTCTCTACACTAAGGGAAAAATTCCCTTGAAAAGTGAACAGCCAATTACAGCCTTTGGTAAGCTAATGCCATTGAATCAGGTGACCTTGAGAGATTTAAAAAGATGGGATTCGTGTTCGGGAATGTTTTGTTTTGGACCTCTCGGTGTGAGTTTCCCACTTTTGTTGCCTGCTTCATAGTAGAGGCCATTTCTTAGGGTGAAAGATCTAGATGTTTTGCTCAAAAAAATTTTTAGTAGTTCTTGTCTTTGTCCAGTTCAGTTTTGCTGCTTCCTCTAAACTTTGTTTACAGTATTTTTCCAGGTTTGCTATTTTTTGGGGGAGAAAGAATCCATATACAGTAGATGTTCTCTAATAAAGGAGTTGAGGACTATGTTAGCCTGATTCTCAGATCACAGAGGGGTTCCTTAAAGTGTATCCCTAATCAACCAATTTTTATCTTAGTTGTTTTTGTGTTTTTTTTAAACAACAGAACATTACAGGGAAGATAAAGGAAATTCTCTTTTAGAAAATAGTGAATGCAAGAACATGCCCAATCACGAGTTTCGCATTACAGTTTTGCAGCACTTACTGTAAAGAACAATAGGTATGATTGGGCCCTTATGATTTCCCTTTACATATCCATAAATCTGCAGTGCTTGGTCAACCAGACACATAGTGAAAACTCAGATTTCTACTGTACATGTATTTTAATGAAGTAAAATGTACATGTTTTTAAAAAAGGACATGTGTGCAGAGGCCCCAAAAGGACACACTGATTTGAGAACCTCTCCACACCTTCTGTTTTTGTGACTACTGTAAAATCTTGGATTTCCAATAGTAACTAGAACAAAGAGAGTGTGAAACTACCCAGAGGGGACATAGACAGCAATAGAAAGCTGACAGAAGGTCTAACTCTTCCATAATCTCTACAAAACAGAAGCTTTCTAGACATATAGGGGTTTATTTACTAAAGCTGGAGAGTCCAAAATCAGACTCCCTTCTGCATAGAAACCAATCAGCTTCCAGGTTTCATTGCCAAAGCTTCATTGAACAAGCTGAGGTTAGAAGCTGATTGGTTTCTATGCAAAAGGGAGTCTGATTTTGGACTCTCCAGCTTTTGTAAATAAACCCCATATAGTCTTTAAGACTTTAAGTCAGGGGTGCTCAACCTGTGGCCCATGGGACACACATGGCCCTCAGAGCCCTCTGATGTAGCCCTCGGCCTTAAACCATGGAAGCACACTTCTATTATATCTTGTGGGTTTGGTGCGTTTTCTGAAAGTTCTGGTGCACATTCAAAAAGTGCACCATACCTGCAAAATATAATAGAAGTCTATGGCAAAGTAACTATCTCAGAGGAAAGCTGCAGGTGCACTGGGCTGCACCCATGCTGTGGGTAAGCTGCAGAGCATCAATGTAAAAGCTGCCTTGTAAGGGCTCATTTACTTTTGCAGTGGGGGGGGGGGGGTATAACCCCATAGTTGAGACATGTTTTTACCACATCCCCATTGTGGCCTCCCTGTCACATTCTGTTTTGCACTTAGACAGGAGGGGCGGCACATACAGAAACCAATACCCTCCATTTAGCGGCTGCAGGAGGAAAATGTTCATTATGCTATTCAAATAAAAAAATTCAAAATTTTGAACCATTTCATTTC